CTTCGTTTCTCCTCTGAAAGGCAAACATGTATTTTAGGATTCTGCTTCGATAAAAATGTGCGCTTTGGCTTGTAAAATCATGCATATTAATTTACACGTACAGGCGAAGATGGCATTTTGTCATTATATAAAGTAATGTACTAAAGTTTCTTATAAAGTTATAAATGATTTTGTCCTGTGGAACAAAATATTCATTTTGTACAACCTCTTTTACCATTGTGATCTTTGTTAAGACATCTACAAATGTGTAATTTAAGTTTCGTGATGTCTTACCACCTCAACCTCAATCTTTTGCATTTTATATTACATGTTGACTGCGTACAGTCAGGAAAAATTCTTTATTAACAACAAATCTACGTCTAGCTTCTTCTGCCGTGTGATTCTCAGGCCGCCAACTATTTGTTGTACGTGCCTGAGTTTCCATGTGAACAGCTGATGAGCAAATTAAACTCAGCTACCTCCATGTATGTGATATCTTAAACATCTAAACACTGTACAAATGCCTGCGAGGCCTACGCCTAAACTTCATTATTTATCATGTGTGAAGTGCAACTGGTGCTGTTGCAGCTTATACAAGCAGCGTTCGGTGCTCTCAAAAGTGGTACCTTGGGGTGGCCGCTCATCAATGGGAATAAATGGAGTTATTTTATGAAAACAACCATTTCCATCAGTCCAGTAAATGAACAACTGTTTTATAAACGCGTATCACAGACTTGCCGTAACAAAACCATAACGGTTTAGAAATAAAATATCCCTAAAAAGATATCATTTCTATGCTTTATTATGATTATTGCCGTTGCTGAAGTTCATCTCGTCACAACTGTCTTCACTGATCTCCATGTTGTCTTTCGACGACACAACAGCATCAGCTTTTTGAATAATTTTTTCCAAAAATTCAGGCCCGGAACTGAGCGCCTCAATGCATGAGCTGTCCAGGGCTAGACCAAAAGTTATCATTGACTGGTTGCGCGCCATCTTTCTACCGGCAGTTTGCTCACCGCCCTTGGGTTTCTCTGGAGATATCAAATCAGCGAGATGGTCATAATCCACTGCCTGATCTACAGGTGTTTTCCTTTTTACCACGGACTGATCAGCGGTGCCGCCTTCGCTACTAGCGCGTGCATCTTCCGTTGTCAAATGCGTTTCCGCCAAACTCTGTGTCACGCCCAGCGTCAAAATACGAAAATGTTTATCGAAATATTTCAAAGTGTTTTCAAGCCGTTGAAACTGAGTTTGTAGCTGCTTGATCTTCGCATTCGTTTCATTCAACCTGCCAAAAATCACAATCATTAAAAGTTTCTACAGCAATGTATCGGCACAGCAAACAGCATGATACTGTCCTGACATAAAGGCAGAGACTACTGCCCCATACCTATAATTAAATACTCAGTATCATTTCACAGACATGCAGAGGTTTACTGCTGAGACTCAACTGATGCGCAGATCTGGGACTACCCGTTGGGTTGTGGCGTTCTATCACACAGAATGATCTTCTTCAGCACTGGTATACTCCACTCTGACTATTAAATTACCGAATTTACTTAAAATTCAAAAATCACGTTCTCGACGGAGGGGGTAGAGGGATCAGAGGTACTAGGCTGAGAGATTTAATACTACTTAGAAAGAACGTACAGTTGTGCTACCCTTTTTTTCGTTTCCGAAGCATTCATGGCCCATAAAGTGTCACAAATTCTCTTGCAGATTAGGTACCTACGAACCTGGATTATGCCAATAAGGAGACATATTTGACAGTACTGACAGAAGTGGCCTTTTCTCACATGGACTGCACAACGTATATCTTACGTAATGCCGAGCAGTGGTTTGGAATGTGTACTGACATTCCGGATTACCGTACAGGACCGCAAAATGTACAAGCCTGATATAACGTCTTAAGTAAAGCAGAGATTCCAAACCCCTGCACAGCTTTGTCGTCACTCTCTGTCTTCCATAATCTAATCAAAAAATCCCTGTCGTAAAGCGTGATCAAAGATCAAAGCATGGAACTGCATGACAGGATAAAGTATACTCGAACTTGTATTCTAGAGTCGCTAGGATAGTCGTGCAGGCCTCTCATGAACCCTGAAATGGGTGACCAATCCACAGTACCTGGAATACACAAACCCATTTATGACTTAAGTGCAATTTCGTCTAGAAGAAGGATCTGGGATCCATCAGTATTTATCTTCACAGAAAGCATGGTAAAACTGTTTCATAATGGTGTGCACTTATTGAACAGAAAATGACGACCAATGGGAACAAGGCGAACGTCAGATGAAAACAGTCCAACCAAAATGTCAATTATATATTCCTGTAAACTAGTCTCAATTTAATTCTTATTAAAGACATCTCGCAAACGCGTAGTTTTACTTGAGAAGGACGCTTTCAATCTGCTTTTCAGACGACATCGCGGTTTCGTTGCGCTTTTTGGTCAGCAGATCCTCCAGACACTGTGATTCGAAGTCATGTAACTTAGACAAATCTGCGTCACTCAGGAACAACTCTACAATACGTTCGAGCGTTTAACAACAAAGGAATCAAACGTCAGAAACATTTTCTGACTTACTGAGAGAATGGTCAAGCCGACGTGTTTTCTTCGCCCGCCATGTCCTCAGAAACGTGTACCTCACCAGGCGGTAAATGTGCACAATGATGACCAACGGTGGAGGCAGAAACGGCTGTTGTTCATAATCCATTACCTGTTGATACTTGTGAAACTTCCATATCAGATGCGAATGGGTGCTGACCGTATTGAACACAAAACTGAAAGAGGAAACACAGCCTTCACAAGCGACATACATGGGATATGTGGAACAATTTTCTTTCTATCAGCTGCTAAATGTTTTCGCAATATAACAATGTGCAAATTAACAATGCCCTACGGTTGTGTCATATACAGAAAAATGGCAACTCATATACAGAAAAATGGCAACTCATAACTAGAACATGTCTCTCGAAGGGTATTCACTGTTTAAAAACTGGTAGCAAAGACCACTGACGATTTAAAACATGGAAAGCAGGATGTTCAACTCAGTGTAGCCAGAAACGTCAAATTATACAGGTTCGATGAACGAGCCGTGGCAGATATGCTAGCCCTGCTAATCTGAAGCCGATCCGTGGATGTTTGAATTCAACATCACGTAAACAAAACAGTGATGCCGGAACATGGTCACTCACTTGAAAGCGGCGATCATCATGTTCAGAAAGACAACGATGGCCAATAGCAGGTAGATGGTCATAAATAGGGGCGTCAGCCAACCGTATGAGACGCAGTTTGTACCGTAATCGCCACATGTGTCAATCTCCTCTGCGTACAATTCACCGTAGAGCATAAAATATGGCTTGTAGACGACGTTTTTGACCAGTGTCCAGTTCCACGCCTCGTTCGGATACAGAACTGACTGGCGAAATATTCCAAACGACAGCAGCACGATAAACAATATGGTACATAGCAGAATCATCTTTAGCACCTAAGACGGAACATTTTAAAAACCAATATTCCTAAATATTAAACAGTTTATTAAAACCTGCTTCATTAATTACCATTTTTCCGTAGATAGTGATGTACTGGCCGAGAACGGCGCTGACAGTAAGAATATGCAGTACACGTAGATACCAGAAGATGATGTTGATCTTTAACAGCACCCGGGCGAGAGACAAAGTTGCAGTACCGAAGCGCAACGCAAACGCGACAAAGAATAACAAACACGCGAAGCACGAACTCTTATCCCAGCTGTGTCGCATGAAGGTCTTCGCTTTGGAATGCAAAGTCTTCGAATCCTGTGTCAACAGCTAAAATAAAACTTCATTAGTTGTTAAATTTCAAGCATTTGTAACTTTCAGTTTCCATGACCGCTTCTCATTTCAGGCCACGGGGGCAAACACGCCAGATATTCATCCACACCTTATCAATCCAGTGCCAGCGTTTGACCTTTGGTAGAAGATAAATCGAGTCTATCAAGACACCTGCTCAAAGCAGAACCTGAAGCAAATGGTAACTTTTCACCCTCT